TTTATGCAAAATATGGCAATCTTTGTAAACAATTGAATTGGAATGAAAAATTACAACATCTCATTATCGAAGAATTTGACATCGTGTAGAAACACACCCATACATTATTGTGCTAGTATTTCCGACTTTGGACTTTATTGCCTGGCAGATATAAAAAAGAAAGTTACTTACATGAGTCCAGGGGTGTTAAACAAAAAGTCATAAACTCAAACTGCAACTATTTATGGTTTTGGAATAGTTATACACAAGGTTTTCGTGGGCGAACGACCATTCAGTAAGCGAGATCATGATAATTAACATTCGCAAAGGAATACGACCTAAGATACCAGATACTGTTCCCGGACGGTGTAAATTTATTATTGAGAAATGTTAGAAACTTATTCCAGAAAACAAGCCAATTGCTGAGGAACTTGGAGATTTTATCAATAATATCAACGGGAAATAGGAATCGAATAATTTGCATTTCCAGTGCTATAGCTTTTAGAGTATCCAAAAAATGCATGAAGGATCAAAGAACTTGATAAAATCATTTTATAAATAAGAACAAAAATAAAAATCAACCCAAATGCAGTTTAGTTTTACTACAAAATTGAATTTCAATTTCAAATGATACAGATTCTTTTTATTTCTAAATAAATTACATGTATATTGCCATTTCATAATAATCAGGTTCTACAAGTGTCAGTTTGTATATCCCAAAATTATTTTTCAGAAAATCTAGTATCAGATACAGTATTAAAAAGACTTGTTTGCACACAACTCTACTGTGAATATGATATGATATCGATGTCGGATCAACCAGTGTCAGTTTGTATGTTTCAAACGATGTAAACGAAGGTAAAATAGCTATTCATTTTTATTCTCTTTAATTCGTTTACTATTTTTCTTTTATGATTCAAAATTATAATGAACGCTGCAGTGAATGTTTCGATTATTGCTATCAACTTTCTAAAGCTGAATGGTCTAGCGGAAATAAGATATTGATCGTCTAATAAGAGAATGTAGATGGATCAAAATTTACCAATATTGATCAATTTATAAAGCATTGTTACCTTATTACAAGGATCAGGGAAACAATAAATTCAAATCATTACGTGATTATAAACTAGATAAAAATGAACAGTTTCTAAAGTGTAGAATTGACACACGATCAATAATGGTAGCACTTGCGGAATGTGATTTGCTTTTTGTGAGAAAAACAACATGGTTTTGTACGGCCCATGTTGAGATGACGAAATGCATAACGACAAAAATAACAAGCATATCGATATTGTAATATACCCCCCCAATGTATGCACGTATCATGTGATTTATGATACTAAAATGTTATGAAAATTTGAATACATGTATACAGTAATTACGTGTACGTACTGTTACCATTTTCAACAAAAATTTCGTAATTCCTTAATTTTTACACTATCATAAATTATAGTGTATCATAATTTAAGCCAATACGTAGTAATTTTTATTTTCCCTTTTATTTTCACTTCATATATCATTACACAACAATCGCTATATTTAGTGAATATCGATATCATTCTCTTTTGATCAAACTTTAAAATGTTCATCAAAAAATCGTATTCTTGTATACTTCCCACTTTATTTTCCACTTGAAAATTAATAATTTTGCTATTGGTACATCTTATGTTTTATCCCCAACAAAAATATTCTTAATTCTTATTTCATTATATTTATCCAATCACATTCATATTTATTTTATCTCTTATTTTACATTATGTTCTGATCTAATAAAAATAACAAAGTTCTTACTTGTAATATTATACTTGTAAATATACTATTATTTTTGTAATTATTTTTAAAACTTGACTACAAGTAGTGAATGCTTCTTTACTTTAAATAAGTCATTGACTTTAATATTTTTAGTTATTTTAGTCATATTATTTTTTAAATTATATTAATAAGTTCTGTTTAATTTATTTAATATAATAATATAGTTATTTTTTTATTTTCTTAATTGACAATCATAATAAGTTCAATTATTATTTTATTTTATTAAATAATCTCAATAAGTTTGTTAATTTCTTTAATAGTTATATTAGTTTTTTATTTTAGTTTCTTTTATTCTTTTTATTTAATTTTTCCACTTATTTTTATTTTAATCTTTGATAGTAAGTTAGTTTATATACAAATTTTTATATAGTGCTCCAACTAGATTAAATTCAATCTATAATTTGATCTGGAATACATATTTCAAATCAGGTTAAATTGAAATCAAATCTGATCTAAAATATTTTGGAATAGTCTAAAAATTATTATTTTTTATTTAATATTAACTAAATTAAATAAAATTTATAAATATATATAATTATATTCTGAATCACTTTGTTTAGACACAAAATACAAGTATTCTAGTAAAAATAAAAGTTATTACAAAAATTATTTTATAATTTTTGGATCAAATCTAACTTGAATTTGATCTAATCTGAAATTATTAATTCAAATTGATCTGATTTGATCCAAATAGAGTTTTATTATCACAGAAGTTCTTTAAAACTTTAAGTGAAATTTATTAATCATAAATCATTCAATCTTTATTTTTTTACTAATTGTTTTTTGATTAATTTATTAATTTTAACAATTTCCAAATTGACAAGAACAATATTTTCATAATTTACTCTATAATATATAATATTTAAAATTATTAAATATTTGTAATTTATAAAATGAATAAATTTATTTATTAAGAAGTAATCTATTAATATAATAAAATATACTCTTTTTGAGTATAATAACAAATTAAATCTTGTAATTCTTTTTTAATTTATTTATAAATATAAATATTTGATAACTTTAGATAGTTTACTATAAATTTATAATTTAAATATTATTTTTTGAGGATATTATAAATTGTTTTAGAATTTGAAATTAATATATATTTATTTAAAATTCCAAAAATAATATAGTTATATCTTTGTACAAAAATTCCAATTATATATATTATTATTATTGCTATAATTAGAAATATTATTAGTTATAAATAGATTGATTTAGTATTAGTTTTTATAATTAATTAAATTAATTTAACATTGATTAATTCAATCAATTTAATTAAATATTAATTGTAACTAATTTTAATTATATAATTTAAAAAATAAATATATACAATATTATAATTAAAAAATATCTTTTATATATGTATTATAATGCAAAAATTCTTAAATTAACAATATACTTCATATTAAAAATTTTATTAATTTTTTAACTAAAAAGTAAATTCAAAATTTAACCAATAAATCTCATGAGTTACAATTTGAATTCAGAGAAAAAATATATTATTCAATTTATTTAGGCTTGAATTTGTAGATTATAGATATCTTTAATCAAGTTAGAATAAATCAAATGATATATTTTTTTGTTTATATTAGATCAATAAATTATGAAATATTATGTTTCAAATTTAGTATAATATATAAAATCTAATATCATCAAATATTTATATTTTATAAAATATATAAAATTAAATTTTATATTTACTTTTTAAATATTTGATAACTTTAGATTTTATATACGATTGATAAATTTTTTATTTTCATATTTTTTTCATTTTAATCAGATTTTATTAATTTAATTCAGAGAATTTATAGCTAAATTTGGTTTTCTAGAACTAAAAAAATTGAATTTTTGTCTAATTATTTTTATAAAGTTATAGAAAAAACTTTCTTAATAATTTTACTGATCAAATTTGAGACGTTAAAGAATTTTTAACATAAAATCTATTGTTAATTTAAGCGTTTCTACATTATATAAACTATATAAAAAATAATTATTAAAAGTTCTGAATGTACAAATATAGCGATTAATTTTGTTTTTGACAATTTTCTATTAAAAAGATAATTAATTTAAAAAACTTTGCAATACTTTTGATTCAAAATATAAAGTACTAATATACTAATATATTCAAAAAAATATTATAAATAAATTAGAAAATTGGAAACAAAAATTATAAATAATTAGATATCAGTTTCAAATCAAGTATATTTTGATGTGACTATTTATTATTGACAATAATTGGAAAATACAACATTAATTGTTGGCTTCACTTTATTTAGGCATATATAAATGTCTTTTATTAATAATAAAATAAATTTTAATGGAAATATTAGCACTACTAATAATGATTGTGAAAAATTTAGTAAATTCGCGCCTTACGATTTTAATTCTGATTGGTTGGTTATGTCGTTATTTATTAAAGTTAACGTTAACGATCTACATGCGTGATTATTGATTTTTCTTTCTCACTAGCACTATTCGCGAGTCGTTTCTTTTCTTTTTGTAAAACTGGAGTGGTTGTTTCGCTGCTGATTTTGTCCCTTTATTCTTTCCTTTAACTCTTATCGCTTGTAAGACTTCTAGGTAATTACCTTTGTGGTAGTATATCCATACTTCTTCTATTTACACTCAGTACTAGGGTTGTTTTGCGAGTTTCTTAGCTTTTTTTTCAAAGTTTCTTCTCTGATCTGACTTTTTACTTCTTTTTTTAAAGTAAAACTTGAGTCGTTGTTTTACTGTTGATTTGTTCTATAATTCTTTTCTTTCCGGGTAGTATATCTAAAAAAATAAAATGAAATCACCGTGACGGTGTATCCACCTCTACCTTTACGATAGTGCATCCATCCACTTTCGTGGTAATGTACCTTTACCTGGGGCAGTGAATCTAAAAAATAAAAAAACAATTACCTCCGTGGTGTGTCAGTTTTGGATTGGCTGCCTCAATTCAATTGAACACGTGGAATGAGATCGATCGTTGTCTTCGGAGTCTTCCTGTGCAAATTTCGGGTAAAGATGACCTCTGGGAAAAGATACAGCAGGTTTGAAAAGAAGTTGATGTTGACTATTGTACTAATTTGATTCGTGATGTGATAAAGATCAGGGCGGTAGAAATTTTTATTTCAATTGATATTTCTGAGAGTTATATATTTTTAACCAATATATCAGGACCGTCTCTTCGAGCAACCGACACGTTGCACTTGATAGTGAAAATGACAGGACTTCAAAGGGTGTTTCCAGCTTTTGATATCGATGGTCGTCCTATCAACATTCAATATCATACATATTTCAGACAAAAACTCTATGGTAACATTTGATCTTCTGTATTATATTCATGCATACCCATCCAAGCTTCCTTACATCTCATATCAGATTGAAAAACTATTTCAAAAACTTTAGGTGGTTGGTCATATAGTCAAAGTACTCTAGGGTGTGAGAAGCACATCTGAAGTGGATTTTGGCGCTCTCAAAATGGGCGTCGCATTCGTGTAAGGCTAGATAAAATTGGTGGAGAGATTTAGCGTTCTGCCTCGCGGTTCGACCTCACCCCAATAGCAAGGAACTGTCACCACCCCCAGTGCAGATTATGGAAAGTGAATATATTTTCGAGATTTCTTGCTAAGAGCTGGTCAGACGCTACAGTTGGAAGCTTCCTTGACGTCGAGTGAAGCAGAGCTCTTTGAATGGTTACATCTGGAACTTGGAAAGGTAGGGATTTAGTATTTCATTTTGTAATCCGGAATGCATGGCTAATATCCACTATGTGGAAGATTTCCAGAATTATTGCGATCGAAACTTATAAATTTTCCACTTTGTTCTCAGATCCCCACTCTCTCCGTACTAAGAGTCGTTCACATTTAATTCTTTGATATAGGGGTGTCGACGATCTACCGCAGGTTTTCACCCAAACATACTACGAGTCACGAATCACAGAACGTGAGCAGTATTATCTAGCTTTGTATCTGCGGATGGGGGAACGAATAAAATGAATTTTTTACTGATTTGTACTTCATACGTTTTCATTCAAAACAAAAACACGCAAAAAATATTTAGCATTGGTCAACTTGATCAAACAACAGCTCGGCTTCCAGTTCTTTATGGGATATATCACAAATGAGACATTTGGACTTCTTGAGATCTATACTGACCCTTTTTTTGAATATGCCTACCACATTAATGAGGGAACTTATTGCAAAGTCAATGAATAAGTTTGAATATGGAAATGATGCTCAAAAGGTTACAGCACGTAATGGTAATTATGTGCTGAAGGATCAGGTATATGCGGCAACTAATATGAATGTTCTCTTATTTGCGCATTTACTCTGACTTTTTAGCTAATAAACATTAGAAACTAACATTCAGTGGTTGCACGCATTCATGAAAATAACAAGTTTGCTTCTATATTGTTCTCTGTCAAGTTCTTTTTCTCTCTCTTTAAGCTTACACAGTTTATTTTGAGCTTTTCATCAGAAGATTTTATGCAGTTAATCCAAGTGCCAGCAAAAATTCCTGTGCAGCTGCATTAAACGAGTTAATAAAGACGCATGGAGACAGAACAAGCTTAAATTTGAGCATGTTAATGATTTTACATGACAAAAACGGATGATTCTTTGAAAGATGCAGGGAAAAGACAAGTGGCTGTGTAATGATTGTACCATCTATGACTACTACAAAACGAAGGGTAGTTGGGGAAATATCAATTAACAGTTAAGCGTCAATTTGTCCTCTTTTTTTGCTTCTAAAGGTTATCTTTGCAGCAGCAGCTTCTACAAAATTTATTTTAATGACGATGAACTTAAGAGGCGTTATTGCAAGCCTATTGATATCCACTTTCGTTTGTTAGAAAGGATTTTTTTTACCGGAATTTTCAGTGATGATAACAAAACTGATGACATTTACTTGTTCCTCACGGGTGGTCACCAAATATTTAACAAGTGAAAACAGTTGGCAGAAATACTCAAGCAGCAAATCGTTTATGATATTTCTGTGGAGTTATCAATTATCTTTGATGGGATTGGTAACAATTCTTGGTGACATGCATCCATGCTCAAAATTACTTTTACAAGCAATATAGTTATTACAAAATCAATTACCATCACATCAAATAAACAAAGTGCATGATCATTTTTGAGTCGCTTATTATACAAGAAATATCATTATTAGATGATGAATTAACACATTATTTAGTCTTGTCATTGTGTGACTATAGTCCATTACTGGTGGAGACATTATAAAGCAAAATAGCACGAAGTTATTTTGCTATTCAAGGCACATGTGTTCCATGTGAACAAGCATTTTCGGTTGCTGCACATACTCTCTGACATACACGAATAAACATAGTTGTAGATATATGCTTATTTTCCATAGAAATTTTAAGTTAATATTTGATTAAGGTATATTCGATTACTTTTTCAACGCGTGTGATCAACAACCAACAGATAACATCCTAATTTGTAACTTTGTGCCAGTAATACAAAGCACGTGACAAATCGTGTACATGTTCATGGATACAATTCCACTATGATTGGTTATTCTTCAGAAATAACATTGATGGAAAGTTTACTAGGGAATAATGCTAGTACGTATAATGTTAATAATACAGATTTGATTTTGATGTTTTACAAATCTCTTGCAATATACTGATACACACGGGTTTTTTACCAGAAAAGAAAGAAAGATACATGTACTATGTTTGGCGTTATTTTATTCCGCAAAACATGGTAATTACTAATTCATTAACAAAATTGTAAAATGCAACACTAAATGTAAACAATGTATAGGAGACAAGAGAGAGTTTCATAGAAATCAATACATCACACATTTTCACTCTTTTCTTTTAATATCTACTGCTATAGTATTTAAATAGTAATGACATGAAATACAGTCGTACTTCCATATATAGTCCTGTCCTCTCTACAATCACATCTTTTCTCAGTGCCAGCTATTATGAAATTTGCTTGGTCCTGAGGTGTGATTATATGTTTTCAAGTGTGCTAAACATATAACCAATCTTGAGGTTAAGATTTTGATACTTATTTATGAAAGCTATTCAATTTGAGTGCCACATTATCATCCGGAAATATAGTTATGTGTTGAATTCCATTCTAATCAGATATACAACAGTTCAGTTAATCAGACTAAATCATTTTGATAAGAACTTGCATAATAAAGCGGGTCAACAAAAAGATGAATTAATGGAAGAAAATATCATACTTTACAAGCATTCAATCAAAAAAATCGCTAGATACATGTACCCATGAATTATCTTTACTTAGCTTGAATGATCGAAAAGAGAAAAAAAAGCGGTCTCTGATACGTGGATGATGATGACATCAGACCGACGATTCCTTTTGCAGATAAAGTTTGATTAATTCGCATCGATTTTTTAGTGTTAGCATTACGCTCTTTTTCTTAGGATATTCCACCTATATAACTGAATAATTTTCTTTTAAATAAAAAATACCAAATTAATTCACAAATGAAAAATACACGGGCAAATAACAACAATAGATTATCAAATTCACCTATTGCTCCCAGTTTCCAATCTCAAGCTACGACTCCAAGCACTCCCAATAGTATTACGAACTTAGGGATGGCTACAAGTAATAGTGATGATGGTATTGGTGGTCAAAGAGCATCAGTTTTAAACTCTCCTGCTGCTCAAAAAGGACGGGTTATTTCTCTCGTAAATCGATCGACACCAACAAATAAACAACTCGTTCTTCCTTCGCGTTCTCAAAAGTTTACAATCAAACCGCATAATCCAGAGAAACTAAATGGAATTTTTTCGTCATCACCAAAAAATACTCGAGAAATGGATTCAACGTCAGATAAAGGATCTCCTTTTTCATCGAGCGGCACTGCCAGATCTCAGACACCATCGTCAGATATCCAACAATCTCTTCAACATGACAAGTGTTTACATTGCTACAGTAATAATTATATTTCTCAAGATGATAGAGAGGACGTCGTGTCGCTTTGCTGGTGTACTGATGACGAAGAAATGATGGAGCAGCAAGAAATATCAAAAACCGATTGCTCTTCAGTACAAAAAGAAATTAACATGACCGGCTTACAAGATTTAGGTTCAAAAAGAGATATTTTTTCATCGAGAGAAGTTTCCATTGATTCTAATAAAACTCGAGAGGTTACTGGACAAGCACCAGTCAGCCACATTGAACTAAATAGAAAGCGGAAGTCCGAAGGAAAAGTAGCATTATCACTCGAGAAGTCGAGCTCACCTATTGAAAACACAGTCAATAATGTTAAAATACCACAAAAACATCAATATACCTCGATAGTGAAAAAATCTGTCGAATTTATTACCAAAGAAGATGAGAGTCTTCAAAGTAATCCAGACGATATGAATTTGGATTCGAATAATGGAAACATTGCCAACCCCAGATCACCTTCCATAACAAATAGGCGTGAGTCAGTAGAGTCACCAATTTTTGCAGCAAGAAATACAATGGTTCCGCCTTATAATTCTCAAATTGAGGTTAATCAGAATTCCAACACAGTATCATTCGACGAAGATCAGCCACTAATTGAAACTCATCAACGTCGAGCCGCCAGTTTATTTAAACATAAAAAAGAGTTGGTTGCTGCTGATGACTCTTCAATAATAGATAATGCACATATTAAAGAGACAACAAAAAAGTATATTTATATTTTATTTATATTATTTTGATTTATATTTACTTAAATTGATAATATGATAACGACGCTTTAATAAAGATCAACACCAGATAAAAAGGTGGCTAAACGACGCGAAACACCTTCCATAGTAAATAATGCAAAGCCAACTAAGAGGTCCGACTTAAATGACTTGATAAATGAAGTGCGGGCAAAAAGCGGTAAAACACTCAAACTTCCAGATGGGCGTACCGCAGAAAATCTCATCGAAGATTTTATCGCAGAAAATGCACAAATTGTAGCAACAATTAAAGACAATCGAAATAAAGTGCCTCCAAATGCATCTACACACAATACATCAAAACGTCGTGGACGACCACCGGGCACAAAAAATTGCGAAAAAAAAGAGATCACGAAAGACAAGCCGATTAACAAAAAATACACGACACCTTCAGCGGGAAGAAAACAAAAAATTCAATGTCAATCCGCAACAGTGGATGTAACTGAAAATGAATCTTTTACAATTGGTAGAAGAGGAACGAATGCAATTGAACAAATTCCATCTCCGAATAAAAACCAAATAATCAGGCATCCGCAAGTCGGAGGAAAAAGTTTGCCGCCACCTCCTGTCTTTAATGAAGAAACGGACGATAGTTCAACAGATGAATCCCAGTATTCGACCGAGGAAGAGGACGAAAAGGATGAAATTGAAGAGAATTCTAGAGAAACTTCACAAAAGGAAGGAAATAATGAATTTTTTGAAGAAGCAATTCAAGTCGTCGAGAACAACGAGTTATCAATGGTTGAGTGCATTGAAATTTCAAGTGACGAGGAAAAAGAGGCAGAAGCAATGACCATGACAGCTTACGAAGTAAATAATTGGTATAATGCAAATACAGAATTAATTGAAATTGATAACAAGGATCAAACACATGCTGGAATACCCAAGCTTTCTGCATTGGCGACTACACTGGCCGCTTTGTTGGGCGTCAATATGACTATAGATCATACCACCACACCAGAAAATAGCCAAAATCAACCAGCGATTATTGATGATGAAGTGGCAATGGTTATAGATGAAGCATCGGTTGCTAATATTAACCCGAACCAGAACGATCAATTTTCGGCTTTTAGTATCCAGAATTCGTCATTAAGATTTGGCGACATTTTGAATATTGATAAAGAAAATAATAATTTTCTTCCACAGAACCCATCAATTAATCATTTTATTTGGGATCAGAGCCAAAAGAACAGTTTGCATTTTCCGGCACAGCAGCCTGTTGTGCAACAGTCTAGCAATTTGGATCAGTATTTCACGAATGATTTTAAAAGTGATAACACTCCTTTTGTTGCGGACGATAATCAACAGGTACATGTAATTATTTTTATGTTCATTTAGGCAATTTCTGGTTTCACTTACTACTCCAAATCTAAAATTCTTTGTATTTTTATTAGATGAGAGGAATCGATTTTAGATTTTACGAATCAAATAATAATTTTAAGCAATAATATTATTGTTATATTTTGTGGATAACTATAAACAATTTGATCTCTTTTATTACTTAAATAGAACTTATCGTTATGATTGGTTTGTAATTACTTATAATAAAATATGAAGTGCACCACTATATTGTTTTTTTAGATATGAACAATTAATGAATTAAGAATGCTCAAGTCTAGATTTATTACTAAACCATTCTGAGGAAAACACCGAATCGGAATGGTCTCTTTCGTTGGTGATGTAAATCCATGTCAAATTAAATTATATTGATATAACTGGTTCTCAGGCTTCGAGGTTAGTATAACAACAAACTTCTGATCGGATCACCAATGAACTTTAATCCTTTGCATCCGATTGGTCCAATTGTGATCTGCTTGATATGTCTTGATGTTCGCGTGCGTGTATTGTAATTTATGCAAACGTAAACTTGTTTAGATTATGCTATGCTGCGTAATTGGTACACGTAAATCAAATACTAACGTTAACGTTAACATTAAACTATGTATTGAAACTCTTTTAATAAAACATTGTTCGGGAGATTACTGATACATGTACCATAAAAATTTATGCATACATCATCGTTATGGTTACTATTTGGGTGTTAAAAAGCATCTCATTTTCTTTGAATTTATCTTCAAGTTCACAATCAAATAATCTAATTAAAAAGCGTATTCAGCATTTATGGTTATCACCCGAAAAGTCTTACAATTAACCTAAACCTTATCACTACTAAATATAGATCATTTAAATTAAAATTTGGTTCCCTTGTTTTCTTTTCTCTCGTATTCGAACACCGTTATCATAGAACCTTCTAAATCTAAAAAAACTAACGCAAAGATTTCGAAGAAATGCTGCTATATGTATATTAACTGGGATCTAATTGCACATAACGATAAATCAAAAAGGTGAAAATCAAGTTCAAAACATCGTTGAGTCAAAAAACACTTGAACTTCAGGATATGTGAATTACCGTATGTAGATTTTAATAGATTCAACGTGTTATCGGGATTATGTAAGCTTGAAAAAATGCAGTAGCCAATTTTTTGTGTTCTTTACACAATAAGTTTGAATGAAACTTTTTTTGATTTCATAAAAAGAACCAAATTAAACGCTGTAAAACCATGCACAATCCCTATACAATTAATGCATTTCTGTAGATACCCATTTTTTTTTGCAATATAAACAAATTATCACTATGGCGTTTTTGTACTAAAAAAACTAGGTTAAATTGTGGAGTTGGTTTTTCTCTTTTTTGGATCAAGATCCGATTTAATTATTGTTATTATCAACTTGTTTTTTAGTAGCTGAGCTTATGGGTACTTTTCCCAGTAAAACGAAACGTTCTAATGGTGGTGGTGTGAAAAATGATTTGTTTGATCAACAAGGGCAAAGCTACATTGACAAGAGCCAAGACTTGCAACATTTTGTGAGGGCTGTATGGAAGGCGAATTTTTTATCACCTGTTCGAGAAACACTTTCTGCTGGAGATGCTAAAGTGCTCGATGTTTGGTCAGTTCCTATTAGAAAAAAAATTATTGTGTTTTTCACCAAAAAATGTATTGACATTTCTTCTATATTAAAACAAAGTTGTGGGGTAGGCACATGGATGTTTGATAACGCGTCCGATTTTAACAAGGCAAAGTTCCTAGGGATCGATATTAAACAGATCCTTCCAAGCGAGAAACCATTGAATGTAAGATTTCAAATAGCGGATGTACTCCAAAGATTACCATTTGACGACAACTGCTTCGATTTCGTCTATGTGCAATTCGTCACGCTGTGGTTCACAGAACAACAGCTAATCGAAAATATTCTTCCAGAATGCGTGCGAGTTCTGAAACCGGGTGGATGGATTGAAATCAGTGACTCCGACGTACACTTATATATGAAGGGTCAATTTGGGACAATATTAAATTCTTATGGCAAGTTTTGAAAATGATTATTCGTGACTTTATCCATTCTATTCGGTTAATGTTTTTTTGGATTGCTTTATATAGTTGCACAACAGCTGAAAAAACGAAACTTCAATCCTTTTGTGGGAAACCGTCTCGAATTTTTTTTGCAAACCACAGGAAAGGTGCAAAAGATTCAGAAAAAAGAACTGGAATTATCCCTTTCTAATCTAAATATGTACGGAGCTGGAATGGGTGATATGGCGTTTAAAATGTATTCACAGCTAGGAATCCGAAGCGGAATAGAACTAGGTAAACTAAAAGAATCAGACAAGGAGAAGTTTCTGATAACGTGTATGCGTGAGGCATACGAGAACCGGGCGTATATTAAATTATATAGAATTTTTGCTGAAAAAAGGTTAACGGAATGGGACTGATTTTCATAATTTAATCTTTGTAATTATAATCACTTCTTTATGCTTTATTATTTGCTAAGTTTAACGATTTGTTTTAAATCTAAACTTGAATATCAACAAAACATAAACATAAACATAAATATAAATATAAATATAAATATAAATATAATATAAATATAAATATAAATAGAAATCCAAATTCAAACTACGTATGTAAATTACTTTTGTTTTAACATACGCTTTTAATTTCTATTATTATTCAAGAGATAAATATTCAAATTACATATGGTATTATACATGATTATTCCAACAATATTACTACGAGATATATAGCAAATACGTAAGTCAAAACGAAACAGATTTTTGGCAAAAGGTGAGAATTCACCTTCTTCGCCGCCTTTTGTTGAACTATATCAAGATCTATATCAAGATTCTTCCTCAAAGATACTAGCAACTTGCAATACTGAAGAAAACATTTTTGCATACGAGGATGAATTAATCACCAATGAATTGATTACTGATGCTTGTCCAGAAGCATTTTTTTTTATTAATAATAATACTGTTCAAGTTTTAAACCAGATATAGAATTTGTAAGTTAGCATTCAATCACAAAACAAAGTTCATTATTTGATTATTTGTTCTTTCACATGATTTTTGGTTTAAATATTACAGTATTAGTTCTTATACAGCCACCCTCTCCTCCCGAATAATCAAAGGCACACTGCTCAATATGTGACCATTAAATATATAAACACACCTCCCAATAGTCACACCATCACCGGGTCTGGAGAAGTAGGAATATAACTGTACATTCAATTTCCAATTCATCAAGTTTTTAACTTCTGAATTCCTGAAATATTTGAAAGTATAATATGTCTTAGTTTGGATCACTAAATCTTGCTCTGTTTTGTTATTCATTTTACTTCTATCAAATCATCAAATAAAGTTACTTTGAAGCAAATTAAAATCAATTATCATTTCGATAGCAGCATTTTATTAACCCAGCTTGATAAAGCAATTGTAAATTGTGCAATTTCCGAAATTCAAACAAATACGTATGCACAATCAAATTACATGTAAATTTATGGTGAAACACAATTTAATATTAAATATTGCAATTACGTACCTACAGCTTCTAAAAGGAATTACGTATGTTTTAAAATCACGCAATATACGTAGTGTATTAATAGTACTGTACATGTATGAATTCCATTAATCTCTTATTTTCGACTACAGCTTTATCTTAAAAATCGACAATAATATTATATTTGATTGACTAACCTTAATTAGAACTATCGCTATACTAAAAATTAATCATTTGCTACAAAAATTTACAGAATTCTATAAAAATTGTAATGTTTCGTAATCTGCACTATTTAAAATGCATTTATTAGCACAGAAGGGGCAAAGAAATTAATCACTACATGTATATGTATGTGAGCAAGGATAACTATAATGAGATTTTGAATTACTAGAAAAACTATTTATTGAGGCTAAATTATAATTACGTAACATGATATGTGACAATTCTTGAGTGTTAAATCGTCATCTATATGGACAAATAAGTAAATATTTGAATACTTATATATCTGGGTACATGTACAAAATAAATATAATTTTGAGTACAGTACAGTATATACTGTATACAAAATGGGGATACTCGAGTCAGTAATTCTTTTTCTAGGTTGCTTTCCTATTCTTTACTTTTTTGTACAACTTCCATGGAAATCTATTGTGAATTTTCTGTGCTTTGTATGTCTATCAACTTCTCGAGGTTTATTCCAATTAACTTTATTCAGGTATGTGATCTGGAACTAAATGATTTTTATCGCTACATGTGCGTATACGTATCGATATTGTTGCGATCTGAACTTTATCGCTATAAATAAATAAGAAATGTTAATTAAAAATCATTTCTTCAAACATTCGTTGTTGAATTACCGTATTTTTCGGCAATTAGTACCTCCTTGATAAAATATCCCCTTGATAAAGTACCCTGGTACTAATCTCGGTTACAAGTTGAGTAGGATGTAAAGTACCCCCCCTTCATAATTCCTGAAATTAGCATTATCCAGGCCAAAACTAGTGTAATCCGGGCCAAAATTACGACTTCCATGTTAAGTATCCCCCATATAATATACCCTCCTCTTCACAAAGTACCCGGGGTACTAATTCCCGAAAAATACGGTATGTATTTTTTAATATTTATTTGTAAATCCTAGTGGTAATTGGGTGTGAGTGCTATCGCTTTCAAGTTTTCTTTGTGAAAGTTAATACATGTATCGGTAAATAACGGTAAATCTTCATTTATTGATTACACAAGTTGCCACTTGCAGTTTTGTTTGCATTTCCGTTAAGTGAATTTTCGATAATCGATCGAATGTACAGTATACTGTACCGAGTGTTTAAAATTGACCTGCACAGATAAAAAATTACGTATTAAAAATCATTACCGTTACAGTAATTCAATAAATGTGAAGTATTGATATTATGTCATCCGCATTTTGTTTTGAATGAATTTTAAACTGAACTGACCGTACCAGTACCATCTAAATGGAAATCTTAATAATTTTAGATGACTTCCAGCAGCTACAAAATTATGAAAGCTGCGAGTCATCTAATTGTCGTTCGCAAATATTTAGACTAGTGGTAAGTTTAATAATTGCAGTATTCGGACTTGCCAAGACTAACACACAAATTTAATTTTTAATTTAGTTCCGGGTATACAGTAAATACGTACCGATACATGCAATTTATTCGCGGAAATAAATGCATGTACATGTACGTACGAACATGGTTAACGATTACAAATTCTGCATGATACGTAGTTCCGATCCTTTTTGTATTTAATCACAAGATTTTATACGATTACTAAATTTTAAAGTAATATCGATATCCACAAGTAAATTGAGTACATGTATTTAATGTGCAAATCAAAGATACTACACATGGAATCCGCATGTGCATATAAATTTTAGTTCTTAAAATCAATTGCGGCCCGCAAGCTCCGAAAGCCAATTTTAGACACTATGTCAAATTGAGTGAAATGATCAAAATTAAAAAATACATATGGACAAATTGATGCTGTAACCGTTTGAGAAAAAACTATAAATTATTGCATAAAAAATTATATATAATTTTTAAATGATAATATAATTGCATTGAAAAAGAACTTGCAACCAGCAATGATACTTAAAAGCATGGCACTAAGTTAGATAAAACTCGGTGGAGTAGTGGTAAGAATCGATTAATTGTTTTAAACAAAGTCGATTCTCGAGCACAAATTACGATGATGACGACGACGGCGACGACAGCAATAACGACGACGGCGGCAATGACATACCTGGTCTTTGGTTTTGTTTTTCATTACATGTTGATTTTTTTCCTTTTCGTTGGAATAGTTGAAGTTGTATTTTGATCAGTTGAATTCGTAGATACTACATGATAAAAATAATTTAGAGGCAATTGAAGTATTGTCATCAGATTGAGATTCTGTACCTGTTTCATTACATGTATATACATGTATTTACTGTTCTTTCGCAAATATCAAGTTTGGATCAATATCAGTTACTTTTGGCATTAGAGTTATTAAACTCTATAGCAATAGTTTCTTGGTTATTATCAATATCGATATTAACATTTTGAATGACAGAGTAGTTTGTCGTGCGTTGTAGTATTTGCTTCTCAAATCTTAATCGATTATCGATTCTAGAGAATCGATTCCTATCCCTACGGTGGAGTTCCACTTCTTACATGGAATCTGCCTTGAATTTACTTGCTACTGATACTGAGAATGATAATGATAATGATTGTAATAATATTAACATGGATGAAATTAATTTGTAGTATGATTTATTAATATTAACTTATTTTTGTTATTTTTATTATTTTTCTGGGATATTATTATGATCCTTTTGGAACTAATTGAATGTGCGACCTGTCTCCTTTTTGCTTTAAACTATATATATTAGATTCAATGAAATAAAAAACAAGATTAAAGGATTATTAAATTTAATAACACCAATTATACAGAAATATAATGGTAAAAAACCCATTTATTTAGATTTAAGATAATTCTCTTTTATGTGAAATCACATACATGCGTTTCTGTATGCAACGCTTGTGAAAAGTCTGTTTGAGAGTGCAATTACGTACGAACATGTATTTGAATCGATAATCTTAACGTTAATACAAGAATTTGGATATCGCTGATTAAGGAAATTCTCATTGTCAGAATAATCATCTCGATATCAATATCGATATGTAACGGTAAAAGAATGTAAATGTAAATTTAAAACTCGGTTCATCAAAATGCAAGTCAATTATTATCGTTATAAATATTGTTGTTGATGTTCGCGCTTCCGTATCATCTATGAACGTAGGATTGAACACATCCTGAATAGCTGTTAAAATCCTTGCATGGATCTTGTCGCTTTTCTAAAGAAACGGTGCTAAAGATTGAAGAATCAAATTTGTTTGTTAATTTATTTATTAAATACTTTTATTATTAGGTTTCGCCTTAAATTTACCTTCTTGTAATTGGCAATGAAGTAACAAAATTATAGGATATTGACATCATCAAGATAAAAAATAGCTGAAAGAGGATAACAAAGTTTTTAAAGATCATTTTAAGGCTTGAGACAATATCTATTCAAAATTGTTTATTTTAAGGCACAAATTGTTAAGAGAAAACAGATTCTAGTGACTGTTTATATAAGAATTTTACTCTGCGTTTTGTATGAAGATAGTTTTCTTTCAAATTCTTTGTTTCTTTCAAATACATGTGTAATACTGGAAGTTTCCTAAATTATAACGTTTTATTATAAACATGTGTCTTTTATCTTAGCCACCTCATACACATCCTCTATGAGAATCGATTTTTTTGTCACAGTATACTGACTTGTATATTATTATTATATATAATCTTTTATGTGCAGAAGATATCGATATGCAATAAATGTTTAATCAATTACTGGATACGTACCGGTACATTTATTACCTTTACTTATGTATCAGTTATGTCAAAATATTTGATAAATTGCTTGATGGAAGCCGCAACTCTGATTGGCTATCGCACACAATCTTTAATTATGTATCGGTATGGATATGATCGAAGTTTTTTACATACATGACTTAATTAAGACATATCAATAGACCTTTCGAACTAAATCTCACTGTATACATGTATACATGTATGCATGTATACAAGTTCTAATCTGAATGGAACGGTATCTACATATTCTTAATTAAGACATAACAATAGACCTTTCGAACAAATCTCACTGTATCGGTATCGGTATGCATGTATACAAGTTCTGATCTGGATGGTTCGGTATCCACATAATTTTAAAAAAGAAGTCGTCAAATTCTATATATACGGAAAGTATACTTAAAAACACGTACGTTCATAAATATACACATAAATGAGCAATCACAAACACAGTACGTATAATCAATAAAACCATTATGTATTTACTAAATTCATATATAAAAACATTGAGCTCGATTTATTACTTGTAATATAAATAGAAAACCTGACTCTAAGAAGTGATGAGAATACGCCAATAAGTAAACGATTTTAATGA